ACAGGACACAAAGCAAACCTCAACAAATTTAAAAGACTAGAAATTATACCTCATATCTTCACACACCACAATGGAATAAAAGTAGAACTCAGTTCTAACAGAAACAAACATCCCCACAAAGTCATGGAAATTAAACAACCTTTTGTCAAATGATAGCTGAGTGAGGAGGAGATGAAGAAAGAAATCATCAGATTCATAGAACAACATGATAATGATGCCACAAGCTATCGAAACCTGAACTTAGTGTCAGATTATTGACTTCTGAAATGCCTCTTACGTGGTAAGAGATATTTCTTTCCTGTTGACTGTAAGTAATAAACAATGTGTACTTAAAAGTAAAAAATAAAAAAAATAAACACTACCCTCAAGGAAAGGCCAAAGTATGGATGACTTCGCTGGTGAATTCTACCAACATTTAAAGATAAATTAATACATTTCCTACAGATTATTCTCAAAATAGAAGAGAACACATCTCAGCCCCATTCTATGAGGTCTGTATTACTGTGATACCATAACCAACCGAACGGGGACATAACAAGAAAAATTTGCATACCAATATCTCTTATGCATACAGATACAAAAATCCTTAACATAATATTTAATACCAGCAGGTCAAGCCTAGCAATATATAAAAAGGATTATAAACCATCACCAAGTGGGTTTTGTCCTAGGATACAAGTTAATTTTACATCAGAAAATCAATGCAACACACGGTATCAACAGAATAAAAGAGTGAAAGGTGTTGACAAAATTCAACACCTTTTGATGATAAAAACACTAAAAGACTAATATCAGGGAACTTCCTTAACTTGATAAAGGGCATCTACGAAAAATCTATAACTAACATTCTACCTAACAGTGAAAAAATAAAGGCTTTCATATTAAGATGGGAAACAATAGAAGGATGACCATTCTCACCACTTCTATTCAACATTGTATTGGAGGTTCTGGCCAGTACAATTAGGAAAGAAACACATGAATAAAAGGGAACTATAACAGAAAGAAAGAGTCTCTAGCTGCAGTAGTATGACTTTGTATATAGAAAACTCTAAGAAAACCAGTGGAAAGCTTTGCAAACTGGCTGGGTGCCTGTAACTTAGTGATTAGGATGCACTGGAGCTGGTAGATTCGAACCCAGCCTGGGCCTGCTAAACAAACAAACAACAACAAAAACAAATTGCTGGAAGTTGTGGCGGGCTCCTAAAGTCCCAGCTTCTAGGGAGGCTGAGGCAAGAGAATCACTTGAGCCCAAGAGTTGAAGGTTGCTGTGAGCTATGACTCCACAGCACTCTATCAAGGGTGACAAAGTGAGACTCTGTCTCAATAAAATTTAAAAAAAAAAGCTTTGCAAACTAATAAATGAGTGTAACAATGTTGTAGGAAACAAGATCAATATAAAAAAATCTACTGTATTTCTATAGAGAAGGAATGAGCAAACCAAAAATGAAGTTAAAAAACTTTCATTTCAGCTCAGTGCCTATAGCTCAGCAGCTAGGGTGCCAGCCATGTACACTGGAGCTGGCAGGTTCGAATCCAGCCCGGGACTGCCAAACAACAATGACAACTACAACCAAAAAATAGCCGGGTGTTGTGGCGGGTGTCTGTAGAGTTCCAAGAGTTGGAGTTTGCTGTGAGCTATGATGCCATAGCACTCTACCCAGGGCAACAGCTTGAGACTCTGTCTAAAAAAAACAAAAAAACCAAAAAAACCTTCCATTTACAATGCATCAAAAAAAGGAAAATAGGAATAAATTTAACAAAAAAGTGAAAAAAGCACTCTGAAAACTAGAAGATATTGTTGAAATAAATTTTTAAGAAAACCTAAGTAAATAGACAGACATATGTGTTCATAAATTAAGAAGACAATACTTTTAAGATGACAGTATTCTTAGGATTTCCTTACAGATGCTACACATTTCTTAACAAAATTCTACATGGTTTCTTTGCAGAAATTATTAAGTTTTTCCTAAACTTCATCTGGAAGCCGAGTGCGGTGGCTAACGCCTATCATCCTAGCACTCGGGTAGGCCAAAAAATGGGCAAATTGCTTGAACTCAGGAGTTCAAGACAAGCCTGAGCAAGAGCAAGACCTGTCTCTGTTAAAAATAGAAAAATAAGCTGGGCATTGTGGTGTGCACCTGCAGTTCCAGCTACCCAGGAGGTGGAGGCAAGAGGATAGCTTGAAGTTGCTGTGAGCTATGATCCCATAGCACTCTAGCCTGGGGCAACAGAGTGAGACTCTGTCTCAAAAAAAAAAAATATATATATATATATATATATCTCAATAGAATAGAATTGGAAGTTTAGAATAAATTCACCCTTAATTTTGGCAAGAGTGCCAAGGCAATTCAATAGAGGAAAGGATAGTATGCTAAACAAATAGTGATGGTGCAGCTGGCTATCTATTAATGAAGAAAAAGGAATTAAGTTGTACCCTTATCTCACAGCATATACTAAAATTAGCTCAAAATGGATCAAATACCTCAAGTCAGAGTTAAAACTATACAACTCTTAGGCGGCAACATTGACATAAATCTTTATGACTTAAGATTGGATAATTTTTTAGCTATGATACCAAAAGCAGAACCAACAAAAGAGAAAATAGATAAGCTAACCATTAGCAAAATTAAAAACTTTTGTTCTTCAAAGGGAACTATCAAGAACATAAAAAATATACTCTATAGAATGGGGGGAAAATGCAAATCATACACCTAAGAAGGAACTTGTACCAAAGATATCTAAAGAGTACTTATAACTTAGTGATATAAATAGTCCAGTTTAAAAATGGCAAAGGGCCTGGGCATGGTGGTTCGAACCAGTAATCTCAGCATTTTCAGAGGCTGAGACAGGAGGATCCCTTGAACTCAGGAAGTTTGAGACCAGCCTCAGCAAGAGTGAGACCCATCTCTACTAAAAGAGAAAAAAGTAGCTGGGTGCCATGGTGTACACTTGTGCCTATAGTTCCAGCTATTTTGGAGCCTGAGGCAAGAGGAATGTTTGAGCCCTGGAGTTTGAGGTTGCTGTGAACTATTAGAGTGTAGATGCCACTACACTCTACCGAGGGCAAGACTCTGTTTCAAGAAAACAAAGAGAATAAAAATGAGTGAAGTATCTTAATAGCTATTTCTCTAAAGAATATTTATAAATGCTCAGTATGCATATAAGATATCAATTAGTGGTGGTGCCTGTAGCTCAGAGCTGGCAGGTTTGAATCCGACCTGGGCCTGCCAAACAATGACAACTACCACCAAAAAATAGCCGGGCCTTGTGGCAGGCGCCTGTAGTCCCAGCTACTCGGGAGGCTGAGGCAAGAGAATTGCTTAAGCCCAGGAGTTTGAGGGTGCTGTGAGCTGTGACACCAG